TCCAGCAAGGTCCGTCTATATTACCTGCCCCTTTCTCCATAGCATAAGTAATTAATCAAAATTGCAAGAACATATATAGTTCCATCAACATTTCTTGGCAGGACTCCGCATAACGAGCTAGCCTAGAAGAAACACAATATCCATGACCATTTCAAGTGAAGTCGTCGGGATCGAGATGGAGAGTGTTGATGAGAATGGTCATCCGATAGGAATCTGGGGCAGCTTTCAGTTGTCGATGGAGTGTCAATCGACACAGTACAATACTGTTGTTGATGGATATTGACTTACCTAGTTGATTTTCACTTAATTGGATTTTGGGAGTAGTGAACAAGGCATTGCACTTTATGTTGGATTGAAATCGTAGTTCAATCATTTCACAACGTAAAAAGTCTATCGATAGAATATTGTTATGGTCGAACCACCAGAACAACATGATTTCACAAACACTACTTATTTTAGTATTGTTTACAACTATGTATGAGTATGACGCTATAGATAAGATAAACATTTGAGAGAAGCATATTTGCGGGGTTGAAAGTTTCAACTTTGAAGCACTTGGCGGATGGCAGGCAGCTAAGTCCATGCCTTTTCAATGTTGTGATGTCGTCTTTGATGAGACAGACCTTATTGCTTCGCTTCCAATCCAAGGTGCATGGAGGAGATAGTCCCATGTATTTGTGCAGATTTTCAAACATTATCCTGAAAACACCAGTGTTCAAAGACATTAGTTACGTGTTCCGGAAGTGAAAAGAATAAGCTCTCAGTAGTGTCATGTAAATATTTATTGAGTCTCAGCTTGCACGACTACGCTACGTTACCTACCCTCTAGTTTCCGGCAGATTCTGCAGGCCATAGTACTGAGATTCTATGGTAATCATTCACTAGCACAGGGTCCGACCCGTTGGTCGGGAGAATTTAGCTTGTGAATGTGGATTATAATAATGAATATGATAGATGCTAAAAAAATTCATGTGACGTGCGTTTTTGTAATTAGATATGCAAATAGTTGAATTATTTATAAGCTTAGTTTGGCCCTGCTGTAACTTTTGCAGAAGCAGCTTCTGGCTGGAGCTTTTAGATAAGTACTTTTCAAAAAAAGCAGTTAAGTGTTTGGTCACAGCGTGGCAACAGATTTAAAGGATGAAAGAAAATGATTGCTCTCTGCTAGAATTCAATATCTCTCTATAGTGTTTATCTCAGACTCTCAGTAGAAATCATTCTTCTTGATCACAGCGTGGCAACAGATTTAAAGTTGTATGATTGGAAATATATCGGACATGTCGCAAAGTTGTCACTAATAGTGAGGTTGACAATGTATCGAGTATGAGGGCATTCCCAAGTGACTCTCATATCACATATATGAGAGTCAAAATGAAATAAAATCAAATAATGATGAAGTATAAATATATAATTATATTGAAAATATGTCGATACAAAAAAATGTAGAATTACAAATATCTTACCATGGATGAAGGAGATAATCAAAATGAAGTTAGGTCGTCAATTGAACAATTGTTTACACTTTGTTGAGCAACTTCATATATAAGAGTCCTCTTTAATAATGGTTTTCATTTTCCTTAGTCTATAATACACAATAACATATAGCGATGTTATAATGTAGTTGTATTCATGAGCATATATATATTCTTTGGCATAAGAACAATTACTTACGGGTTGAATAAATGGTGGAACAAAGGAGCATTTAAATCAAAAGTATCCCATCATATTCAAAATTTGATTTATCAGGGGATTTAAAATGTAACACATGTATTTATAATTAATAAATTAAAAAATAATGATGCATTGCATACACACATTATTTTATAGATACGTTAATCCCAAAAATTGAATTTATTGCCCCACAAAGGGCTACCGTTGATGATGAATCATAAACTAACATAAGAGCAATTCATGTCTAAAGAGTCAACAGAGAAAACCAAAACACACAGTAATTCATTGTGAACTTTTAATTCACAAACGGTTAATCCAAAGGAAATCTACCAAAAACATAGTTACTAAATTGTATGATCTCATGAATGATATGATTAGAGATTATGGTGAAGTGAATGAACCGGACAAATATTGATAATTTTTATAGGCTATTTGGAAGTGAGAAGGTTTGAAGAATCTGAATCTGGCTATTGGAATGTCAGTTGCATCTCTTAAGGGCTCGACCCTTGGATTTGGGTTGAACGTAATTTGTAGGGTGGAAATAGCGACTCCCTTGTGTACTGCAGCATCATGAACTTCAATATTAAATAGGGCGTATATCCTCCGCTCTTGATGTATCAATTGGCAGATGGAAGAGGAACATAACTATCCAATTAACTGTTCCAGGACCAATCAATTGGACGTATTATCGAGCAATATGATCAAAGTTTCACCAACTAAAAGAGGGACAGGAGAGGTAATTGCCCCCTCATTGTTGCACTTGCTGCTTTCTAACTCTTCTAAGTTGGTGGGAAATTGAAGCTAGAAAGGGGACAATGCACAGCCAAGGATTAATTAAGCAAAGGCCGAAGATATCCTAATGGCCGGTAAACCTGGCCGCCGGCAACTCTGGACAAACAACTTGAAGCCTGACGCGTTGTAGTGCTGAAGATCGAAAGCCTGGGGAGTCAACAACGGGAGCTGTCGAGTTTGGGTATTCTAATTTCTGACCTGTCGAATTATGTCGCCGACAACCTTAGCTGGAGAACATGTTAGGCCTGCGAGGATAGGCCGCCCCTTCCACTAATGAAATGTACCCGTGTTGATAGGCCAAGTCAGCCAGCCTAGGCCTGCTGTAAGGATTGGTCCATTTGAGGCCCAAGCCATCTATTGTACTCCACTGAGTTTATTAACAGCAATGGAAATTGGCCGCAAGAGAAAGATATTGGAACAAACACGGTAAGACGATGAAGCTAGGAGGGAGCTGAGCGGGCGGTGCGAGGTTTAGTGGGGTGAGAGGAGGGAAGGATGGGTCGGGTTGCAATAGTAGTGTTGGGTCGTTTTGGTGGGTTGAGATTGGGAAAAGAAGAGAATGGCCTAGGAGCTAGTGGCGTGGCTTTTGGGAGTGGGTCGGTGGGGCTAGAAGTTGTGGGCAGTGGCAATAATGGTGGGGAAGAGATGCAGGGATGGGGATTGGGGGATGGGCTCGTGGGTGAGAGGGAGGCTGGGGTGATGATGATGGGCCGGGCCCAGTTAAGGACGGAGGTAAGGGTAGAGAAATGGGTGGGTTGTCCCGTGAGGTAGGGAGGATAGGAGTTGAACGCAGCACTTCATTAAAGTCGGTGTGAAAAGTCGAAAATAACCTTCGGTGAAGCTCTCAGGAAGCTGCTTTTTTGAATCCCTGCAATTTTGAGTCATGAATATACTTCATAAATTTTATAGAAGTTAAAGTACAAACTCTAAATTCTAAATATTATTAATAGAAACGAAAAATCCGTCAATCAAAATGATTTTTTTTTTGTAAAACATCTGCGAGCTACAATTTCCGTTGAATTGGCGGCCCCTTTTTCATTTACTTTTGGGCTAATACCACTAAAAATACCAACCTTTAGCGACTTTGCTATTTGTATTACGAAATTTCAATAATTACACGAATTTCAGTTGACTGTTAGTGTAAACCGTTATCCTAACAATACTCAACTTCCGTATGCCAATTAAACGTGGTGCTTATGTGCCGTCCACGTATGTGCCACGTAGCCAATTGTTATCTAAAAATTATAAATAAATTTTGTAATAAATAAATAAATAATCTCGCATTCTTCGTCCTGGGATTCTGCCGCCGGAAACCTCTCTGACTTCTGCATCCGCTTCTCCTTCTCCTTCGGCGCAAAGCCCCAAACCCAAAAACTCCCTTGCGGAATCTCCTTCTTCCTCGCCCTCTTCGGATTTTCCGTCCCAACTAACTCCGCCTCCAGCTACATGGGTCTCTAAAACTTCACCAACCAGATCTATTCCCCAGCGAACAAAGTCGTCCATGGATCGACAGTTCCTCTCTCCCTCTGAGCAGATCCGTAGAACGATTAGCGGCTTAAAAAGTGTGACGGGCATTAACGACAACGAAAATGTCACCATCATCGCGATATCAATCGGCGGAAAGGACGGAATCTCCTCCCTACTACTTCTATCGAATTATCTCGCTTCTCTACGACGGCAATGTTGCTTTTCGGATGACATGAAAGCAAGAACCCTAAAACATCCCAAATAATTGCAGGGAAGACTCGGCACAATTGGATCCACCCATCATCATCTCTAATTCATTTATATTGTAATCATGCACCCTGTAATCTAGCCCCAACTATTCATTCAATATTGTAATCCTCTCCTTCTGTTCTGCAATTGGGAGGATCAAATCATCCCTAGCAGCACCCCCAACTCTCTCTTCTTCTTCCCTCTCGTTTGTCTTTGTATCAATACAAAAAAGAAAGGAAAGACCCGATCAGCCTCCAAAGTCTAGAAAAACGAAGCTCTTTGTCTCTCCCCTTACATCGATCTTCTTTCTCCCATCCCTGATCTATCCCCATTCGATCTATTATTGTTTTTCTTTGTGACGGAGAGAGCGGTGCAGCGGGCGAAAGGTGGGAGCTTGTGGCCCGTTCCATCAGTAGCAGCCAGCTGGAGTAGAACGGAGGACAGGAGGAAACTGCTCCACCACTAATAAATGAAATAAAACGCAGAGCAGCATTTAAGTGGGATGGAAATGTCTTAAGTACCCTTCCGTGAAGCTCTCAGAAGCCAGCATTTTTGAAATGCTGCAATTTGAAGTGGTGAATATGCTTCATATATTTTATAGATTACCTTGTCTAGTTGATTGATTACATACAAGAACTAATTAGCTTAGCTAGGTGTGCACTGTAGACTGAGTAAGCCGCCAATTAAAAACATGGCACCGGTGAGCCCAGTGCCACATCATATCTTATGTGGACCAATTAAAAACAGCGGCACTGGTGAGCCCACTGAATTTTACAAGGCCTGAGCCCGAATTTGGCCCTGATGGTGAGATGGACCTATGAGGTGAATGTTGATATTGCGGTGACCACCCCGACCATTTTCCAGGATAACTGACGCACGCCGGAGAAATCCCGTTCGTTGTCTTCTCCCCGCAACTCAGGTCTCAACTCGCAAGCAGCCGCCTTAAGTCGATCGCATTCTCCCGCTCCGATCTTCTGCTCCGGTACTGACTAGGCACACTTCGCCGGAGAAAATCATGGCTCCGAAGCCGAAAGATAAGGCGAAGCCTTCACCGGCCTCACCGCGGCAGCCGCCCCCTGCAATTGAAGATCTCTTCACCAAACTCAATTCGCACATCGAGGGATCTGGCGATCGGAACAACGAGCAATCGGAGCTGAAAAAGGCCGTTCGCGTCGCTGACCAAGGTCAACAGTGTCTTCGCAAATTTTACAGGCGCCTCTCTCTCGTGTCGCATTCGTGTTCTGATGTTTGGGGCTGTTGTTTGAATTTGCAGTTCTCGCGATTGCACCTGGAGACGAAGATGCGCTCCGGTGCAAAGTGGTGGCTTTGATTAAGAACGACAGTTACGACGAAGCTCTATCGGCGATTCGATCTGCTAAGAATCTCAAGTTCGATTTCAGCTTTGAAGAGGTGCATTTTGTTTCACTCCGTCTTTGTTTTTTGTTTGGAATTTCTTGATAATTGCTTGGCTTAAGAGGGTTGAACTTCGGAAATGAGTTTCTTTCGTTTATGTTTGTGGCTTCTCTGCACAGGCATACTGCTTGTACAAACAAAACAAACTGGACGAGGCATTGGAGTTGCTGAAAGGGCAGGAGAGAAATTCGGAGACAATGCTGTTGGAAGCTCAGATTCTGTTCCGTCTTGGGCGAATGGCTGAGTGCATTGATGTATATCAGAAGCTTCGAAAGTCAGAGCTTGATTCATTGGAGATAAATCTTGCTGCGAGTTTGATCCTAGCTGGGAGGTCTTCTGAAGTGCAAGGCATGCTGGATGCACAACGGATCAAGCCATCTAGCAGCTACGATTTGGCATTCAACACTGCTTGTTCTTTGATTGAAGTGAACAAATACGCAGAAGCCGAACAGCTATTGCAGCAAGCAAGAAGGTGATTGATGCATGATTTGGTTTTCTGGCTGCTGAGACGCATGTATTACTGTTTGTAGAGTAGTATTCGTCTGCTTGTCCTGATGATTCGCTGGCGTTTTTAGGGTGAATGAAGATTTGGGTCTCGAGTTTAGTTTGTGAAGACTGACATTTGTTTATCAGATGTTCTATTATGCTTTATTTGTCTCGTCTAATATGTTTGTTGCAAGAATTTGGTCTAGTGTTTTATCTTCTTTGGAAGATATGCTTTGGTTGAGTTTTCTTTGACTGCTAAGATGCATATTACAAAAGTGTTGCTTGGTTTCTAGATAATATAGCCATTAGCATCCATGAACATGTCCTGGTTACTGCCATTTTTAGGCTGAATTACTTTAATTTGGGTTTTTTGAACCTAGATTGTTGAAGACTACAAATGACATGTTGTGATCAGTAGTTCCATTATCCTTATCTTTGGATTGTTTGGTCTAGGGTTCATATTGTTGGCTCTAACTTGAGTCTGGTAAACTTGTGAATCCATTGTCTATTGATGCTGACTTGTCCCCCCCCCCCCCCCCCCCAATTCATGTACACCTGATCTTTTTGTGAGCTCTATCTTGAGTATGGTAGACTTGTGAATCCATTGCTTACTGATGCTGACTTGTCCTGTTTTCCCCTGTTATATTCCTGTAGAATTGGCCAGGAATCATTGCTGGATGCTAATTGGGCTGAGGAGGACATAGAAATTGAATTAGCTCCTATAGCTGTCCAGCTGGCATATGTTCAGCAGGTGAAACATCATCCTGATTGTACCTCTAGTCCGTACTCTCCTATTCAAGTCTTCATGATCTCTAACCCTAAATGCCTTCTCTCATCAGCTTTTAGGGCAATCAGATGAAGCCATCGAAGCTTACACAGAGTTGATCAGCCCAAATCTCGCGGATGATCTGTCATCTCTTGCTGTGGCTGTAAATAACCTAGTTGCTCAAAGAGGACCCAAAGAGGTGTCTGATAGTCTGAAGAAACTCGATCTCCTGAAGGAACAAGGAGGTGCTGATTACCGGCTTGCTCGTGCTCTCGACAAGCTCTCTCTAAAACAAAGGGAGACCATATATGCAAATAGGATTCTCTTACTTCTCCATGCAAACAAAATGGATCAGGTCATATATTCAGATCTTTGCCTTTCCTTATTTATTATAAACCTAAGTGTGGGTTTTGCTTTAACGGGTGAAGAAAAGGTGTGGTTGGCAAGGACTTTAGAAAATTTTGAGTTGATGAGTATTTCATAGCCAGATGGCTAGTTTGTTGGGGTCCTCCTTGATATCTTGTTCTAAGAAGTTGCGAATACTTGAAATGTCTTACAGGCACGGGAGCTTGTGTCAGCATTACCATCTATGTTCCCAGACAGTGAGATCCCGACACTCCTTCAGGCTTCCGTGTTAGTGAAGGAGAAGAAAGCTGCCAAAGCGGAAGAAATACTCGATCAATTCTCCATCAAGTTCCCTTACCAGTCCAAGATCGCTCTTCTTGCCAGAGCACAGATCGCTGCCATCTCCAATCACCACCAGATAGCAGCAGACTCCCTCTCCAGAATACCCGATATCCAACACATGCCCGCCACGGTGGCCACCCTCGTTGCACTCAAGGAGCGAGCTGGCGACGTCGAAGGCGCTTCTTTGGTGCTCGACTCGGCTGTCAAATTTTGGTCAAACGCCATGACCGAGGACACCACCAAGTTGACCATCATAATGCGAGAGGCGGCATCGTTCAAGGTCAGACACGGGCAGGAAGCAGAAGCTGCCCGGCTGTACGAGGAGCTCATAAAAACCCACGGCAGCAGCATTGAGGTGCTGACCGGGCTGGTCAACACGATTGCCCGTGTGGATGTCGAGAAGGCGGAGAGTTACAGGAAAAAGTTGAAGCCACTGCCAGGTCTCGGGGGGATCGACATCGAAAGCCTGGAGAAGACATCCGGGGCTAAGCATGTCGACGGAGCCCCACGTCAAGTGGCCGTGGAAGAAGGGAATAAGAAGGAGGAGAAGCAGAAGAAGAAGAGGAAGAGAAAGCCGAGGTATCCGAAAGGGTTTGATCCAGCGAATCCGGGTCCCCCGCCTGATCCAGAAAGGTGGCTTCCGAAGAGGGAGAGATCAAGTTACAGACCAAAGAGGAAGGATAAGAGAGCAGCCCAGGTCAGAGGCTCTCAGGGTGCTGTTGCTAGAGAAAAGAACGAACCTTCTGCTTCCTCCTCGAATGCTGCTTCTGCTGCTGCTGGCACGAGCTCCAATGCTACGAAATCTGCAGCTTCCAACGTCACGAAAGCTGCAGCTGGGAAAGGTGTGTCCCATTCGAACCAGTCGTCCAAGTCGAAGAAGAAGTCGAGGAGGTGATAGGGTGGAAGCAATCCATCTGCAGGAATCCTGATATGGATAATAATCCGTGAAACGAAACAATGTGGGAGTGAGAGGAACGAATTGGTCAGGTGAAGCTTTTTTGCTAGGAGTTTATTCTAATTTAATCGGAATTTTCTTTTTGTGCTGAGCATTGGATGGTGCTAGAGAATTCTACCTGACCTTTACAATTGATAGTTACAAACGGTTTTGTGAGGACTTCAACCGGTAAACACATTCCTGGATTTCCACTGTCTGTCTTCTGAACACATTTCCTGGATTTCCATATGAAGCAAACACATTCCTAATGTTTTTTTTTTTGAAGGTAAGTTCATTAGATAACGACTGGGCTCAGCCCATGAAGGAAATGTACAAGCTACAATGTAATAGGAACAAAAGAAAGAATCAAACAACCAGGCCCAAAGACAAACCCAGAACCCAATAGGGCCCGAGCCCAGGACCAAAACATGAAGGCCCCTTCCCAAACCCTAACACACGAGCCCCTTTGTTTCCTCCAGCCGCCGCGATCGGTGACCGTGCACCTAACCAAGCACCTCCCCCGACGAGGAGCGCCACCATGAGCCAAGCATAGATCGGCACCCACCGAACCCGACATGCGAGAAGAGGAGGAGAAGACCTCCGAACAACCCACTGCGAGCCGAACGCCACACAACCTCCCGCCGTCAAACTGCCAGAGAGCCAACACAGCAACCGGACGATTGACGGAGGAGATAGAGGGTTAGGATACATCTGTCCTCAAGCTTTCCCCATCGGATCCACGCCAATGGCTGCATCTCCGAATCGCCAAGATCTGCAAGGCAAAACAAGGAGGTAGACCATAGGAGAGGAGAGGAGAAGACAAGCCGGATCTATCAGATCCGACCTCCATCGTATCTTGAACCGGACAAACATCTCCACATCTGGAAACCAAATCGGAGGACAAAATCTTCAACCCAGAAACGGGGGCAAAGGAACCCTTCACAGGAAGAAGAAAACGGACCACAGAGGCAGCAAAGAAACCCGAAAAAGGGCCGAGAAAGCAGAGACGAGAAATCAAAAAAGCTGGAAAGGAAACAGCTCAATCCAATAGAAAGAAAAGGAAACAAAGATTACAAGAAAAGAACCGGAAAACAGGAATAACAGAAAACAAAAGAAAGTGGGTTATGGTGACCGGCGACACCCTTACACAAATAGCAACCAGCGGTGATTTAAGAGAGAAGGGAGAGGAAATAAAGAGATGAGAGAGAAAGTTCCACATTCCTAATGTATGCGTCGTTACTTGGTTATTCGAAATCAAATGTGTTATTTGAATTAGCTTTGATTGTGTTGCCTACTCGTACAACATAACAAACCCATCTTCCCTCCAATTATCATCCATATCAGTAGGGCCGTAAGTTTGGTACCGATATTTGGGATTATACCGAATACCGTACCGAACTTAATGAAATATAGCACACAACTTTTGGTCATTCCCACTCTTTCATAACTCACAAGTCCTCATTCAACTCAAATTTTGCTTTTCAATTTAAGTCACTCTCATCTAATCCCTTGTTATTTTCATGACATAAAAAAGAAAACGATAGTATTAGTCGTTTCTCAGCCTCCAATTCGTCGAATTAAAGATTACCAATGACAAGAAATTTAGTTGTCACCTCTCCCCCCTTCTCCTTATCCATGTCCTAGCTCTAGGCAAACTCAAGACTCTTTGCTTAGTCTCTTTGTCCTAAATTAAACTATCAAATCTAATTTATATATTTAATTACTAATTTCAAAGATAATTAATTTTGTATTCGATAATACCAATTGGGATCCCGAAGTACCGATTAGGATACCGAAATATTTAGGGATTGAGATTGGGGTACCGAAATTATTTAGGGATTAGGATTGGGATTGCTTTTAGGGTGTAATTCGGTATTCGTGATTTCGGTATTTTGTATTGGGAAACCGATACAGTATCAATTTCCAGCCCTACATATCAGGGCTAGGCAAGGTTGTCGGAATGGCATGATCATCATAGTTGTACAAATATAAGCCCCTCCCTTTCCTCGCCGTGAAGTAAAAAGACTTTCTTCTAAAGTCCAGATTTACTAGCACAACACGAGTAAAATAAGGTTTATGGACACCAACGTCGTTCTCTCGCTGGTAAGTTACAAGCAAAACTCTTGAACCGAAAGTTTTGATTCATCATTTGAAGGATAAAAAATGCGATAATAAGATAATAATGGATTATGAAAGCTTAAAGCAAGCCAATTGAATATTAAAGCTACACAAATCAAGAAAACCGATTACCATTAAACATATCTTACTCTATAATTTAGGCTTAATACACCATTTTGACCCAAAGTTTGGCATTAGTGACGATTTTGGCCCCAATTTTTTAATATTACACTTTTGGCCAACTTTTCAAATTTATGAACGTATTTTGCCCGTGTTACGTTTTGACCGTCAGAATTGACGGTCAACTAATTTCCCCGTAAGTGACTCAGCAACCTTTGCTGACTCGGATCGCCACGTGGTGCAAACCCTATTATCCAAACTGTCTTTCTAGACTCGTCGGACACTGTCTCTGATCCTGTCACTGATGCCGCGAAAGGTATGCTAAATTTGAACCTCTCGCCCGTTAGTTTATTCGATATTGAATGGGATCTGAATGAGATGGGTATGGATTTTGGGGGTTCTTGGTCCGATGATGGTCGTTTTTTCTTACGTCAAATTGGGGATGGTATGCTTGAAATTACGAATGCGAGTTCGGGTTGGGGTGTAGATGCTGTAAGTGCTAGAGGGGATTTGTCAGTAGTGGGTGATAACTTGGAGCGTTTTGACAATGCGCTGGTAGCGAGCGTAAGCTCCAAAGGGGGTTTGAGTGTTGAAGGTGTAAATCCCGCGGACTATCCCGAGTCGTCGTCTGTCAGTCTCTCCGGGGATATGTCTGACAGTGATTACAGTGCGATAGAGGACGACACGTATTCCGTCAGACTCCATACGCATATGTGGCGTCGAGGTGATATTCCCGCGAAAGCTTTCAACTATGGTCCAGACAAATATAGCAAGCTTAAACCGCAAACCGTGTTGTCACACCTACGGTCTTATAATCTCCCTGCTGACTAGAAATACGCTGCACCATCTCCAGACTCGATGGCAAGTATATGTCCGAAAGGTTGGATCGCCATATACACAGAGAAGTTGAAGCTTGGGTTATGCTTCCCGCTTGAACCCATCGTTACGCAGATGCTTTTGTGCCTAAACTGCACCCTGGGGCGGCTATCTCCCACTGTTATATTCCACGCCTGCGCATACCATCTTGCGTGTAAAAGGCTTTGCATAGAACCTTCGTTCAATGTTTTTTGACTCATGTATGGTCTTAGGTGGGCAATCGAACGTTTGGTCGTTCGGGAGGCGTGACAAGGTGTACGGTTTTGTGACCGCTTCTCCCAAACTTGACTCTCCTTGGTTCAAAGACTTCTTCTATGCAAAACCAACTAGTAGGTGGTACTCTGGTGAAAAGGAACGAAGACGGGTTTTGCCTACGGGAGGCGGAAGAACTGGGACGTGAGGTTGTGGTCTTTAGAGTCCCAAAAGGACCATGTCTTGAGAATTGCTGAGCGGTCGTCTTTTAAGATGGCGCCTAAGGGTCCCAATTCTGTTGCTGCTATTCTGACTGAGCTCTTCAGGGATGGTCAGTGATATTTGCTACTTTCAGGGGCTTTGACAAGATTATATGTGTGGCTAACGATCCTTTTTCTCTTGCAGCCATGGACTTCAGTAATGTGGCTCTAATGACAAGGCCTCCAAGGCATTCCAAACCCGGGGATCCTAAAGCGGGGAATACGTCTGGTCGTCTGCTGCTGCCGTGAAGGTGGGTTCTTCCTCTGTCGGTTTTAAAAGGGCCTTGATCCCGTTGCTCAAGCCTCCGGTGTGTTCCGACCAAGCTACTCTTGTCGGTGATACCGACGGTGTGGTGAGGGTGAATACTAGAGTGGAACTGGTGAGTGGTGAAGCCAAGCCGAGACACTAGGAAGCGTCATATGGATCATCTTGCATATGAGGCGGAAAAGAAGAAAAAGGCAAAGCCAACTGCTTTGACTGAAACTATTGCATTCTCCCCCCATCCCTCGGTGCAGGAAGATTGCGCCAGGCGGATGCTGCATAAGTTATTCGGGAAGCTGCTCGTGCCCTCCAAATATACAGAGTCTCTTTATCCTTCTTCCCGTCACTTGGTTGGGACCGCCGCCCGCTACTTGCTTGCCGTATACCTTCCCCACTATTTTCATCCTCTTTAGCATTCTAACGATTTGCTTTCTCCTGCAGGCTGGAATTGGTCTTTCTCAAGCCGGGATGATCAATGAGAATCTTCAAATGGAGAACCTCCAGAGTGGCGACGATATAGAAAAACTGCATAAGCGAATCGGCGAGCTGGAAGCAGAGTCCATCAAAGGTCGCGCTTTCCGTGCGGAAGTGAAAGCAGAGATGGAAAAAGAGCATGCTGAAATGGTCAAGCAACTTTGTGTCAATCTGACTCGGGGTATTGAAAAGGTTAACACCCTCATGGCTAACAAGGACGTCCTGAAAACTGAGGTTGCCAAGCTCCGCAAACAAAATGAGGAACTGGAGGCGAAGAAGAGGGAAACGTCATTGAGGCACCGCACTGAAGTTGATGTCACCGTCAAATCTATGGTTGCGACATACTTGTTGTCCCCTGCTTTCAAGGCAATAGATGAGGCTAAACTTTCTAAGGTGATGGCCGATACTGTGGCTTCCATCCGTCATCTGTTCCGTTGCGAGCATCCGGAGCTGGAATGGGACACCGTTGCAGTGTGGGATGTTGTTAAAGCTTGGGGCAAATCAGAGAGCGACATGAACTCGGAACAAGAAATCATTGTTGCTGCTACTGGAGGCGACGACGCTACTTCTCAGTCTAGTGACGCGTGAGTTTTTAGTTTATTTTTCCTTGTTTTGTAATGTGCTGCATCGCAGCGTAAACAATGACCTTTTGCCCGTGGTCGGGATCGATTATTAATATAACATCCCGTACCTTTTCCCAACAAGATACTATCCGCTTTGGGCCTCTACACCCGCACGGATTTGCCTCGGGGTGCAATTCAAGGTGACTTCCCATAATGTCACCCATCCTTGCAGTGCTCCACCCTGAGCACGTTTAAGTGTTTAACTTCGGAGTTGTCACAAGAACTCATTCATTTCACTCCAAAACGCGTCTTGTTAGTTAATATCGGTTTCTTACTTATGAACCATGGATCTCTCCCGTGCTTTGTCGATGTGGGATTTTCCTAAGGTGTTACATACACCCCCCTTGGGACTCAACGCCCTCGTTGACGTTTGCCCCACCATCGTTCAAGAGGGACGCAGAGAGGCTCTGATACCACTTGTAACATCCCGTACCTTTTCCCGACAAGATATTGTCCGCTTTAGGCCTCTACATCCCCACGGATTTGCCTTGGGGTTCAATTCAAGGTGACTTCCCATAAGGTCACCCATCCTTGCAGTGCTCCACCCTGAGCACATTTAACTTCGGAGTTCTCACAAGAACTCCTTCATTTCATCCCAAAACGCGTCTTGTCAGTTAATATCGGTTTCTTACTTATGAACCATGGATCTCTCCCGTGCTTTGTCGATGTGGGATTTACCTAACGTGTTACAATTAATGTTTGGCTTTCTTCACTATTTACCCTTTGATTATTTGTACTCTTTTATTTCTTTAACTCCATGGGACGATCTAATACGAGGGTTGGCGCTGATATCCTTTGTGAGCGAGATCCTGCCCTCGGAGGGCATTTCCTAGGCGGGTTGTTCTGCGTTCGGGGTGGCGTGTTACAAATAACCCATGTCACGGGTTGCGTTAAATTTTGGACTCGTTCTGCGCTCGGGGTGGCGTGTTATGAGCGAGATAATCTCAACAAGATAAACAACTGCTTTGATAAGAAACCGGCCGCATTTGATGCTTAGCGACTTTAAAATAACTTGTTTACATTTATTCGAGTGCGTGGTACCTGCAAAGATGCAAGGCATTCCACGTCTTGCTTATCGACTCTCCGCCCATAGTTGCTAGCCTGTAAGTGTCAGGGCCTATCTTGCCACTCACGAGGTATGGCCCTTCCCAGTTGGCCGCTAGCTTTCCGTGACTTTCCTTCTCTCGCTTGTCGAACATTCTTTTTAGTACCATCTCGCCCTCAGCCAAAGGCGTGGTCGCACTTTGTCGTTGTATGCTTTGGCTACCTTCTCCATTTCCGCGATGATGCGCGTTAAAGCCGCCTCATGCATTTCTACAGTCATGTCCAACTGGAGGAGCAGGTTAGTAT